AACTGCACTGCGAGGACCACTTTGTCAAACATCACACTCGATTACCCTCAGGAGAATATTCTGTTAGCTTGCCCATGAAGCGAAGTCTGGAGTCCTTGGGCGATTCCTACTTGCAAGCAAAGCGGCGGTTGGAAAATTTGGAGCGCAAGTTCGTGCGTAATCCAGTTTTATATTCGAAATATTCGGCATTTATGAAGGAGTACCTGTCCCTTGATCATATGTCTCTGGTTCCAAATGAAGATAGACACAAGTGCAGATATTTCTTGCCGCATCATTGCGTCATTAAAGAGGATAGCTCCACGACAAGGCTGAGAGTCGTATTCGACGGCTCTGCAGTTACCACATCTGGTCTCTCGTTGAATGATCTGCTTATGTCAGGTCCCACCATTCAATCCAAGCTGTTTCACACTCTCCTTCGATTTCGTACATTTTCCATTGCTCTTACAGGCGATATCGGTAAAATGTATAGGTGCGTGCGTGTCTCGATGGCCGACACCATGCTCCAATGAATATTGTGGAGGGACTCAGTTGACTACGATATACAGATCTTCAAGCTTAACATTGTCACCTATGGGACTAAGCCTGTTTCGTTTTTAGCTATTCGAGCTATGCATCAGCTGGCCATGGATGAGTCGTCTTTGATCCAATGGGTTCAGAAAACAGTCTACAGGACTTCTACGTGGATGATATGATTTCTGGAGGAAATTCAGTAGAGGAAGTGCTGGATATTATGCGTCAAACCACGGATCTTCTTGCTTGTGGCAATTTTCAGTTAAGGAAATGGTGTTCCAACTCTCCTGATGTTCTTCGTGAAGTCCCTGAGGCAGAAAGGGAAAGTTTACTGAAGCTCGATGATGGCAGCGATGTGACCAAGGCGCTTGGACTCATCTGGGAACCCCATAAGGACAAGTTCTTGTTTACTTTTGCACCTCAAATCGGTGTTGGCAAGCCCACTAAGCGTTCGGTGTTGTCAACCATTGCACGGTGCTATGATCCAATGGCATTAATTGGACCCACATTGACAAGAGCAAAAATCATCATGCAGCGCATGTGGAGAGATAAGCTACATTGGGATGAAAGTCTTCCTCAGCCACTGGAATCGGCTTGCGCTGAGTTTTGCAAGGACTTCGCTACTGTGGGTCACGCTACATTTCCACGTTACATACTTCCACCTAAGGCAAGGTTTGAGTTGCATGCCTTTTGTGATGCCAGCCTCCAGGCCTATGGGGCTTGTATCTACGCTCGTTCGTTTAGGGATACCGCCGATGAGGTACATTTGCTTTGCTCGAAGGCTAGAGTTGCACCATTGAAAACCCTCACGGTGCCTAAGCTTGAGCTATGTGCAGCGTTCCTGTTAGCCAATTTACTTCGCGAAATTAGGAAAATCGATACCTTCGACTGCCCGATCCATTGCTGGTCGGATTCAACTGTGGTACTGTCTTGGTTGCGAGAGGAACCATCCAAATTCAACGTGTTTGTGTCTAACAAGATTTCCGCAATACAGCAACTTACGAGGGGCATGGATTGGCGCTATGTACCAACTGAAATGAACCCGGCTGACATTCTTTCAAAGGGAGCAGCGCCTCAGGAGCTCTTGCAGTCTAGGTTGTGGATGAATGGACCTTCTTTCTTGCAAGGCGAAAGAAGTAGCTGGCCTGAACGTTGTTCGCCCGAACTCAGTCTTCCGGAAATTAGGCATCGAGTATTGCTGTCGTCTGAGCGTGTCGACATCTCGCTTTCGTTTAAGCACATTAACTCATTCGGAGTCATGATGCGCATTTTCGGATATGTTCATAAGTTCGTCAGCAAGAAAAGGTCACCTGATCTCTCGTCTGAAGACCTTCGCAAAGGATCGCACTTGTTGTGTCGCATCGTTCAACGCGCCCACCTTTATCCCGAGTACCGTTATCTGCGGAAGGGGAACTGTGTGAAGTCCTCCAGCAGCATTATATCTCTCTCGCCTTTCATAGATGACGTTGGTTTGATTCGTGTTGGTGGTCGCTTGCGGCACTCAACTCTTGGCTTCGATGCACGCCACCCAATAATTTTGCCAGGGATCATCCATTGACGTTCGCCATCATCATCCACTTTCATCGGAAGCATCACCATGCTGGGCCGCAGTCTCTACTGGGATCTATTCGCTTGCAGTTCTGGCCCATCGGCGGCATGAAAACTGTTGCTCGAGCGTTGCGGAAATGCCTCATCTGCTGCAGGTCCAGACCTCGTCTTGTGGAACACATAATGGCTGACCTACCGAAGGAACGAGTGCAGGATTCGCCTGCATTCAGCGTCACTGGAATCGATTACTGTGGTCCCTTCTATTACAAGCCAGATGGCCGCACTCGAACGCCTACAAAATGCTACATCAGCGTCTTCATCTGTTTTGCAACAAAGGCCGTTTGGTTGGAATTAGTAAAGGACCTTACAACTGCTGGATTTTTGAGTGCCCTCAAACGCTTCGTTGCCACGCGCGGCATACCCCGATGCATTTGGGCGCGCAAGGAACGAGTTGGAGGACCTTCGGCGGCTGTTTATGAGCGAGAAGCATCGTAATGCAGTTCATAATCATTGCATCAACAATGGCTTCAATTGGAAGTTTATCCCGCCTCGCTCACCACACTTCGGGGGCTTGTGGGAGGCAGCAGTGAAGATGGCCAAGCAGCATTTATATCGCTCCCTGGGATCGTCACTCTTTGGCTTTGACGAGCTGCGGACATTGGTCTGCCAAATCCAGGCTGTAATAAATTCTCGTCCTCTTCTCGCAATTTCAGAAAACCCTGAAGATCTTGGCGTCCTTACACCAGGACATTTTCTAATTGGTCGTCCGCTGATGGAGTTTCCCGAGCCAGATGTTACAAATCTAAACTTTAACAGACTAGTTTGCTGGCAAAGAGTCGCCTGTGCTCAGCAGATCTTTTGGAAGCGTTGGAGTGAGGAGTATTTGACTCTGCTACAACAACGTGCCAAATGGCGCACACCGCAGCCATCCAAGTCAACGACATCGTCTGTATAAAGGACGAAAACTTGCCGCCGTTGAAGTGGCCATTAGCACGGGTGATCGACATCATCGCTGGAGCTGATGGCACTGTGCGAGTTGCCGTCCTGAGAACACCATCTGGAACCACTCGTCGAGCTGTCAACAAGCTGTGCGTCCTACCCGTTGAGGATCCTGTTAAAAGCCCTAGTCTTTCAACGAGGGGGAGTATGTTCGGAGCAGCAGCCGATAATAGTTCTTCTTAATATCATATAGTCATATATCATCTCTTATACTGCTTATACTTATCGCTCTCTCAGTACGCTCCCGTACACACGCACATATGCTAGTACTGCTTATAGTGCATTGCTGCGCCCTGTTCTCGGTGCAGTCCAAATATTCGTCGAACGCATCGAGTCGTAGTTCACGGCCACGGCCTCAAAACCTTTGTAACGCGTCGTGAAAATAAAAAACATTTGTAAACTTAACCAACGGAGTAAATTATTGTAAATGTGGAGTCAGAGTTGCCGAAAAAGCTCGGCAGCTTTCAACAACCACCATTACACATTAAGCTGGGACTAATGAAGAATGTTGTTAAAACGCTGGATAAGGAAGGTGATTTGACGAGCTACCTACCTTCCACGTCTGTCGCTGTCAGAAGTTAAAGAAGGCGTATTTGATGGCCCCCAAATTAGAAAACTACTAAAAGTTGATGGATTTGAAAATATTTTATCTACGAATGGAAAAGCAGCCTGGTATGACTGGTTACAACAAACTTTCTTGGTAACAGCAGGAGTGATGATTACGTTAATATCGCTCAAGACCTAATTGAGAATTATGAAAAAATTGGAGCCAACATGGCACTAAAACTCCATTTCCTGCACTCCCACTTAGACTTTTTTCCGACAAACCTAGGGGACGTTAGTGATGAACACGGAGAGAGATTTGAACAACAATTAAAAGCTATGGAACGAAGGTATCAAGTTGTTTGGAATGAGAATATGTTGGGCGACTATGTGTGGACTATCATAAGGGAATTTGATTCTAATGACAAAGGAACACAGCCAGAAAATTTAAATTTTTTTAAGAACAGTAACAAGCAGTAGCCAAATTTATCACATATGTTTAAAAACTTGTAGCAACATAAAACCAAATAAAAAATTTGTATATCTTTTAAATTTACTGAAAAGACTAAAAATTACTGATTGTTGTATGGGTTAGGGAATGAAATTCTATATCTTAGGTATTTATGCTTTGGTTTCATTGAAATATGGTTAGGTAGAAGCGACAAAAGTCTAATTTGTGTGGACCTGCACTTTGAAAAAATAAAGGTCAACACCTGACCTGAACAGGTGTCCATACCTCAGATTGGGCACAACGAAAGAAAGTAAGTGTCAACAACATTTAATGCCAAAGGAACACGTTCAGGTACCACCTTTTCGCTTGCTTTGGGATTGGGAAAATCCGCTGTTGGGCCCGCAACCTTCCAAAAAGTATTTTTTTTTGGTTTGGTTAACCATAGATTTTAATGAGCAATACCTTAAACGATGCCTAATTAATGCGTCCATCTAAAACTAATAATGCATGCCAAGAAATATTTTTTCGACTTTTCCCGAGTTTTTAAAGTCAAAATTTCGGAAAAAAATATAAATTATCTAATTTGAATTTGAAACCCTAATATCTTTCAGGCGTTAAGCTGCAGCTACAAAGTGTCTGGGTTGGATTTATAGCTGCAAACCTAAATAAAAACACAACTCTTTAAAAAATGTTAAATCCCGAAATCTATCAAAAGTCATTTTGGGCCACAGCGAAAATTTCGTGTAGACTAGTGTAATAAGCCGGACCGTTAAAATATATTTGTGAAGAGAATTTTGCTAGGCTCAGAGCCGTTTGGGAGAAGCTCAAACAAACACCGGGGCGTGGCAAAAGTTTGAAAGAAACTTGATTCAGTGTGATATCTTATAAGTCTGGAAACAACATTTGGTTGCTTATATTATATATTTAAAATTGTATGGTTGTTACTCACAGCGTCTACTTCCTCAGCATCATACCAGACATTTATATATTCATGTTTTAGTGCCTTGTCTACAGATATCCTCTGTTCTGGATCAATTACAAGCATTTTACTAAGGAGATCTCTGGCGTCTGCAGCTTTCCTTCGACTATTTTGATTATTATCGTTTGGAAATAATCCATCAGGAAAAAGTCTATCAAATGAATATCCAGTGTACCTAGGACGATTTTCCACATAATTTCGTACAGTTGGTTGTAAGCGTTGCATAAATGATGGAGATGGTGTACCTAATTGCTCTAAAATAATTAAGAAAATTATCTTTACTTGCAACAACTGAACAATATATTTATATAGGAGTATTTACCAATAATTTTATTCCACTGATCTATATGATCTGTTCCAGGGAAGAGTACCCCACCTCTTATCATTTCACCCATAATGCAACCGACGGACCATATATCAACGTTCTCAGTATACCCCATTCCCAAAATGACTTCTGGTGCCCTGTAGTAGCGGGTTACTACATATGGAGTCATCATAAAGGTAGTTCCTGCAGTGCGAGCTAGTCCAAAGTCTAAAATTTTTAGAGTACAGTCGGCCTTTACAACTATATTGGATGGTTTTAAGTCCTGTGGAACATATTAATTTAAAAAATAAATACTGATTTAATATACATATGTTTCTATGTATGTAATATGTATGGTTACACAGTAGGTTCAGCAAAATAAATGGACACCCCTTAGTTTTTTATCTCGGCTTAGATAGTAATACATATTTATCTATTTATTTTTATTTAAAAAAAAAATAAATAGAATTATAACAAACTAAAAAAAAAAATTATACCGATGCCATTAATATCGTCATTGATCAATTATTGACTGCAAGAAACCTGCTTAAGTTTCTGCGAGTAAGCTAACTATAACCATAGTTAAACTTTTTGATTTTCACCAATCGTTACTTCAGTAAATAAAAATAAAAAATACCTTATTATCAAAATGAAATTGTTTCTAAGTTTCAATTATATTTGAAAAAATCGAGGAATTTTTGAAAAATGTATGTATATTTAACAAAAATATTTAACTTTCTTTTCGTGGTAGTAAGCCCTAAACATTGAACTAAAAATTTCAAAAAAAAAGTTGTAATTTTGTTTGCTAACAAAAAATTTTTTATCTGGAATATGAATGTAATATAGTCTTAAGTACGCTGGCATGCACACTTTTGTTAAATTTGTTAACAAATAGTAAGTTATCAGGTTTCTGTGATTGCCAAAAATATTCTCTGGAGTCTATCTTAACTTATACTGCTCCGGTTTTCGTAAATTTGTGCGATTACGATTTTGAGACAATTCGTACGAATTGAAATTATATGCGCTCCGGTTTTCGTAACTTTTTGCTATCGATAGTGTCTCATTCCCAAATTGTTTTGTGATATTTGTCTTGAAAACAATCTTTTTATACCCGTACTCAAAAAAGAGTTAAGGGGTATATTAGATTTGTGGTAAAAGTGGATGTGTGTAACGCAGAGAAGGAAAATTTTCCGACCCCATAAAGTATATATATTCTTGATCAGCATCAATAGCCGAGTCAATCTCTGTTCGTCTTGATGAGCGCCTAGATCTCGGAGACTATAAGAGCTAGAACATCTTAAAACGCAGTATCGTAGAGAATTACCACATCTACCAGATTGCCGAATATGGATCAGATCGGATCATTATTATGGCCAGAATGAAGAAATTCATTTCCAGTTGCCAAATCGATGGCATATTTAACTACAATATTTTTCTATTTTTTCTGAGATTCCTACTCGTTTCTTCTCCTGAAATATGAATTTATCCAACTTAGTTGTAGAATGAAACGAGAAGGAACGTAAGAGTCGCTTCTGGGGACGCGACTCTACTTATACCCGTACTCAGATATAGATAGATAGATAGATAGATAGATATTTTATCGGTCAAATGGGAATTCGCAATTTATTGTTGCTTAGGTTTATTTTGGTGAGGTGCCATTATTAAATATATTAGGATATACGAAAATAAACTACTTTCAGTTATATAAATTTAAAACATTAGCATATTTTTTTTATATTTTTCCCACTCATACAAGTTTTTATTTATGTGCAATTCGTTTCAACCGGTTTCAAGTCATAAAAATCTTGCGATTTACGAAAACTGGAGCACGATTTGTTTGATTTAATAATAAAAACGCAACTTTTTGCGATTGCGATAACCGGAACATGGCTGATAATGCCACCATACTCCCATCAGATGAAAGTATGTTTGTGCTATAGGGTGCAATAGGGTGTGCCGAAAGTACCAAACCAAAACCGGATCCTGCCTGTATAATAATGTGTTTCTAAATAAAGACCAAATTAAAAACGAGAAGGAACGTGTGAGTCGCTTCTGGGGACGCGACTCTACTTATACCCGTACTCAGTCAGTAGATACATTTTTGAGCTTATGATTTTTAAGAATTTTAGAAAAAAAAAATTTACATTTTACATTTTTTTGCTACATATGATATCTACATCTACATATACAATGTATATTTTACATCTAATATGTAGATTTTACATGTTCCAATTAGATTCTACATCTCCTCCGCTAGGGGTTGCTCGCGCACTGAACGCGGCAGAATGTGTGAGCGAGAAGGAAAATGAGATGCGTTGTTGGCGGCGGGAGGGGGAGCGGAAGCAACTGAAAATTAATTTCTTCATTCTGGCTATAATTATGATCCGATCTGATTCAGATTCGGCAATCTGGTAGATATGGGCATTTTCTACGATACTGCGGAGGAGGGCGGAAGGGGGCGGGGCGAAATTTTGAAATACACTTGTAGCAGTGTGATATCACATGAGTCTGGAAACCAAATTTGGTTTCTCTAGCTCTTATAGTCTCTGAGATACAGGCGCTCATCAAGACGGACAGACGGACAGACGGACGGACGGACAGACAGACATGGCTATATCGACTCGGCTATTGATGCTGATCAAGAATGTATATACTTTATGGGGTCGGAACATTTTCCTTCTCTGCGTTACACACATCCACTTTTACCACAAATCTAATATACCCCTTAACTCTTTTTTGAGTACGGGTATAAAAAATGTTTGTAAATAAAAAAAAAAACACTAGCATAAAAAAAACAATAGTCCACTAAAAACAATTTGGAGACCCAAATCTATCAGAAAATGTATGAGTGATCTCAGGGCTTTTTTTTATCTATTCTTAAAAATATTTTATTTTCGTCCTTTTTCTCGAAGACATTTGTATGATATTGTGACGAATGGACGAAAGAGGCAATATTTATGTTTATCTTTATCTTAATATACTCTAAATTATATATTAATATGTATATTGTACTCTGTGTATAATTCCAGCTGAATGTAAATGTTTAATTCCACACAACATTTGATATAGCAAATATGACATTCTGTCATGATCCAAATCCATTTGAATAACTTGGCAGAGATTAGCGTCCATTAGCTCCATTACAAGGTAAACGTCTTGAAAATCTTCTAAATTTCGTTGCGGAGTAAAGGCATTAAGTAAGCCAATAATCTAATAAGAAAATTAGTTGTTACAGAATTGAAGTGAAATTTCTCATGTTGTGTATTTACGTTTTTATGGTTTACAAGCTTCATTAATTTGAATTCTCTATATGCTCTCTTAGCATGGGTTACATTCTGGAATGGTCGCGATAACTTCTTAATGGCCACGTTTTGCTCAGTAACCGTATCGTAAGCAGCACTAGAAAAACAAAATTTTTTACAAATTAAGAAATATGATTTTAAGTATTAGAAATTCATTAAAAACTTTATTTGTATACCTTAAAGATTCGAAGGTCAATACGAATTTTTAATATATGTATTTGAATCTACCCAGTTACTGGCAATAAACTTGTTATTCGGTTCACAGATAGTCTCCCAAACATGTACAGTAGGCTGGTCCAAAATTTGACCAAAAAATTAATTTTTTGTTTTTTTTTAAAGGGACAGCACCCCCAATTCTATTCTTTGTTATTCAATAACATTTTTTTTCAAATTTTTAGTTTAATGTTTGGGCCCGGGGAACAAGTTTTTTAGTTAACTTAGACACTTTTTTAATCTAAGGTTTTTGTTTTTTTCTGTTAAAAAATTTTTTGATAAGTGAATATCAAGAAGTTTTGCTGAGGTTGATATATTTAGTTAACTAGTTCGCAAAAACTTGTGCAAGTTTCTTGCTGCCAATAACTTATTAATGACGATATGAATGGTATCAATATATATGCAATAGATTTCAGCAATTACACTAGTCAACACTAGAATTAGGCTGTGGCCCAAAATTTAAATTCTTATAGATTTCGGGGTTTAAAATTTTTTAACGAATTGTGGTGTTTTTTTATGGTGTAGTTTTTCTTTAAAGAATTTTTTTTTTTTTTTTTGCTTTTTTCAGAGGTAGTGCTTCTTTTGCTTCTTTTGCTGCCCAATGCAACTATAAATAATACCCAGACACGTTGTAACTGCAGCTTAACGCCTGGAAGATATTAAGCTTTTAAATTTAAATTTCATCATTTTTTTGCGGCATTTTTCCAAAAATTTACACTATAAAGTCGGGAAAAGTCGAAAGTTGACCGTTTATCCATAGATTCTAATGAGCCCAATTAATGCGTCTATCTAAAACCAAAAATGTTGGCCAAGAATTATTTTTTTTTTTCGACTTTTCCCGAGTTGTTAAAGTCAAAATTTCGAAAAAATATACCGAAAAAAATGATGAAATTTGAATTTGAAAGCTTAATATCTTCCAGGCGTTAAGCTGCAGATACAAAGTGTCTGGGTACGATTTATAGCTGCATTTGTCAGCTTTTAAGAACTGCTTAGTGATAAGCTACTTAAGTTATGTGAAAAATAAAAGCACTACCTCTGAAAAAAAAATAACAGATTTAAAAAATTAAAAAAAAAATTACACCATAAAAAAATAATAAAGTACTACACAAAATTTTAAATCCCGAAATCTATCAGAAAAAGTCATTTTGGTTCACAGCCTAAATCAAAAGTTAAATTTTTTCGAGTAGTGTTATCCAACTCATTCAGCAACAAATTGTTTTTTGAATTTTCTTGATTCAAATTTTTTGGAAAATTCGGTAGCAACCTCTAAAAAATTATAAAAAAAAATAAAATCATGTAAATTATTATTAAATCTAAGGTAAAAAAAACTAGGGGGTGTCCTGTTTGAATTTCGAAAAAAATATTTTTTGGACCAGCCTAATGTACAGTATCATTTATCCACAAGATTAGTTTCCGGTCAATAACCGAAACATTAGTGGGAATAATCTGGGCTACGGCAAAAAAGATGCAAATAACATATGTACATCGGGAAATGCAAAAGACGACTTTTCCTTATGCGACCGACAACTGACGACGGACGACTTCTCGACTTTACAACTTATTCTCGAATGTTTTCGCTCTGACCTCTCGTTCTCATCTAATATCTGCTTCTTCTTTGTCTTCATATTACCCATTACCCATAAACTTTTAATCGCGATTTTAGTGTTTTTGAGTCAATATTTAATATTTTGTGTGCTGCGCTACTGAGCTTCTTCAGTAGCGTTGTTTTGCGAAATTATTGAAGAGACGACGATTTTTAAGTATATATATATATAAGTATATAGTTTAGTATATAAGGCGATACAGAGTCGAAGGGATAGTTAGCTGGATTCAAGACGGGGTCAGATTGAATGCGAACGAGAGCGACAGATCGAGAGAGTGATAGCGAAAGGCGATAGAAAGAAAGGTGCAAGATGAAGACGCGAGAGAACGGCTGCATAGGGAAGTTGTGAGCCGCGGCTCTACTTTCATACCCGATGCTCAGTCACTATATGTATATGTGTGTAATATTATGATTTATGTAACTCACACAATACGTTAAGACAAAAGTCGAGCAACATTCAGTCCCACCAAAACGACAAGTTTTTGTCTCGCGGCTAGCCCCTGACCAATGATTCTTCCCGCTCTACTTCTACCCATCCCAAAAAACTAACTTCCCCTCCCTTTTAGTTCCTACCAGAGTGCTAGAGGCTTACGTAGTAAGCTCAGCACCCTCTTTCTGGAGAATCTCACATTTTCGTCCCAGTGGACTCAAACTTCACGTCGGAACATTTCATAGTTAAGGTTCAACAGAATTCCTGTGCGTAAAACTGATTCATTCCATTTTCATTACTTACTCCTGTTCATAGTGACCGCCACGATATTTAAGTTAGCGATCTCAAAGCAACACTGGGCATGTACACTACTGCTCCGGGGATCTATCGACGCTAGAAATTCTTGAGTCTTGTTCCTATATTCCTCATGAGTGCGTCTCCATACATTCTCAGTACACAGTATCACAAAAACATATTACTGCTCAATAAATAACTTGAACAGCTCCATTCCACCTTTTTCGGATATCTTACTAAACGAGCATCACCTGTCTGCTTTAAAAACTGTTTCAGATATCAGATAAAGACCATATGGTGATTTAAACTTGCCAAGTGCTGTTTGGTCTTAGGTAAACGAGTCTTATAATCTTGTGCCCATGTCTCGACATGACTTTATCGACAGCTTGCTAGACCTATCCCTGTCTCAAGTCAACCATGTGAAAAATTCTTTGGGTCGATTGCTTGATCTGTGCCTTTTCTCGGATCCGACCATAGCGTTGCTAACCCGAGCCTTTCCGCTCACTATACCTGAAGACTCGTACCATCTTACATTCGAAATGTTGGTCGATATTGGGCCTACTGTATTGGATCGAACGGGTAGGCTATCTGAACGTGTCCGCTGCTTTCGTAAAGCCGAGTTTACGAAGCTTAATAACCTCATTAGGGGTTTTGATTGGTCCGCTCTGTACTTGTGCACTGACGTTATGAAAGGGACAAACATTTTTTAAAATAAATTGACACATTTTTTAATTTTTGTGTCCCACTTTCTTGTCCGGTTAGATCTGGAAAGCCTCCTTGGTTTACCAAAGAGTTATCCAGTTCTCTTTCTCGCTATGTAATAGCTAGGTCAAATTTCTCCGTTATTAACGCTCAATGCGGCCAGGCGAAAATCCTCCAGCTGAACCCTCCCAAAGGGTGCCGGCCGGGCAATGGGCACTGCATTACCCCGGATCGGGTAATGCATTGCCGTTTGCTCTGTCCGAGGTAATGCAGTGTCTAGCTAAGGCCAGGTCCAGGTCTTCCCGATATAAAATTGGGGGAACTGAACCATGGCCATGGCTGGAGGTGCCTGGCGGACAGGCATAAAACGCTAGGGGGTGGTCCCCCGATAAATATTAACCACATGGACCGGAGTAAGGATCAAGCAGGGACTGGGATGTCAGTCAAAACGTCGGTGGAAAGCGTGACTGCTACCACCGGCGGGCACGGGGAGGAGCAATCCTCTCTGCGTGTCGCCAGCGGTCACAACTCTGATATGGCGGGAGCAGGTCATATTAGTTTTAAAGCTACTGCCACCAAAACGCCTCTCTGCAAGCTGAGCCGCACGAGTGCCGTGGTCGAAACAGACTCGGACCTGGAGAGCGTGCTCAGCGTAAGCAGAACGGAGGAAGAGAGCCTTCTCCGCTCGCCTGAACCAGGTACCAGCTCCCTGCGTAGGGAAGGGCCGAAGCGTTCTAGGGAGGGGATGAAGGCTAAGGCCCAATACAAGGCGGCGCTCAAGATCCGAAGCCGGCTCCAAGGCAGAGAAGACATCTCCCAAGAGGAGAAGTCCAAGCTAGCCTGGGCCGAGCAGAAGGTAGAGGAGGGCCGCCTACACTTTGCACAAATGCCGCAAATGAAAGCGACGAAGGGGGAATTTGCCAACAAGGTGGAGGAGATTCTCGCCACCAAAAGGCAACGCTCGACCGAGAGCGTCAGTAAGGACACTCCGGCGAGCAAGCGGCAACGCGGGCCCAAAGGGGTGGGACCTCCACCCAAAACGGCAAAGAAGCCCAAATCCAAGGCGAAGGTCAATGAGGTGACCAAACGACACCTGATCCTGGCACTCATTGACCGGAGCGATGGGAATGGCAAGATGACGGAGGCGCGGTGGAAGATGGTGCACGCGCAGCTCGTAGAGTCGCTGTTCGGAAGAATGGAGGAGGACCCAACAGCCCCCATGCCCACGTTCGATGATGCTGGGTGGCTTAACGGGGTCAAAATACTGAAATGTATGGACGACCCCACACTCAAGTGGCTGACGCAAACGGTCTGCCAAATGGAGGCGATGTGGGAGGGGGCCAGACTGGAGGTTGTGGACAGGGAGCTAATCCCGTCCATACCAAAGGCGAAGGTACTCTTCCCCATCGCAATCCAAGGAGGCCGTGCGCTGAGGCTGCTACAGCGGCAGAACCCAGACGTGCCAACGGCGAACTGGAGGATCTTGCACATTGGGAGCCCACTACCCAACGGGGCCCAGAGTGCGATCCTCCAAATCAGCAAGGAGGCAGAGGACCTGCTGTACCCCAGATTCGGGAAGATGGCGTGGGGCATGGGTAGCGTATACCCCCGCCTCAAAAAGCGCCACCCCGAAGACAAGGACACGCACACCCTGCAGGCAGGCGAGTTGGAGAAGGACCTCGGTCTGGAGTCCATCGTGGAGGCCGCTCAGGGTATGGCGCTGGACGACTCCGAAGAGGAGGAGGACGGAGACCTGACAGTAATAGTCAACCCGTCGAGTGTAGTTGAGCCAGCCTCCCATGTCAGGGAGGGTGCTGCAGCTCAACCTACATAAAAGCAAACTCGCGTCGACGGA